TGGATTTATTCATAAAATAACTCAAAATCCAGTGTTGGTAATGAAGGTGTCACACACCGCGTGCTGAATTAATTAGTGTTCCAAGACTCGCTTACTCCAGCGTTTATCAAGTACGACGAGACGCATTTCTAACAGTCTTTGAGGATTACTTTAAAACCAGCAATTACTACATACCGGGAAATTAGAGGCATGTAATAAATTAACAAACACGGCCACTGAAGTTTATTATTCCTGGTGTTTTACGACTAGCAGGATTTTCTGATTAAAAATAAAAAGTCTTCCATTATTAAGATCTACTTATGTCTGTTATTAGAAACATGCCTGCACACGCTTCCACAACACCACGGAGTCATTTCATGGTCTTACTGACATGGAGTTTCTAGAGTTTAACGATTACAAGTAGATCACATTATAACACGGGCTTTAAAACCCTCAGGTGCAAATTACTTTGATTGTAGATAAACGAAGGTGCGATAAGGGTTAGATAAGTCAGAGTTCTCATTTGGTTAGGTAATGTTTAAGGTAAACAGGTTAGATCTTCCACAGTAACTGTTTGGGTCTATAATATGATGTAACTACCCAAGAAACAGTGGTCCGTTGAGTATATACCAGGGTTTTCCTTAACCTTTGCCAAGATATGTTGGCATAGGGCCCAAGACACGCAGCATCCCATGTAGAACTGTAAACTAGACTTTCACTACAACGGTTTTGGCAGGTACCCGATCAGTCGCTCAACATATGAGAAGTCGATCAGGAAATTTAGGGTCGGCAGTGACAGATGAGAGAAGTCGACCTGAGGGTTGTGTTTGTACTAAAGGAACTTTAAATGACTAAAAATGAGACAATACGATTCTTTAAGCCGACCAGACTAACTAATTTGAGCTTATTTTGTAATGTATTATAAAATGCAGTCCGTAACAAGATGAAGATTGAAAATCGCGATAAATAATTACAACCCGAAATATACTTCATACCACACGTACCACACGTACCATTTATATAGTAAATGCGCAAATCTGTCAACATACCAAAGGTCAATAAGGTATAATTAAGAGGCGAATAATCCATACACAAATACTTACATTTTTAGTAATAAAAATTGCGGTCAAATCACGTTGAATGAACATTTCTAATAAAATAATATAAATGAAATATATTTAAGTAGATCCCGGCGTGGTGTAAAGTCAGCTGATCAAAGCCGGGGTTGTCAGCGGTGGTGTGCACCGCAGCTGCTGCTGCTGCTGCTTGCAACACACACAAGTTGGCCACATTATTTACACACAAGCTTGGGATAAAACACGCTTGAATTCCCACAAAAAATTATCAGGCAGTAGAGGAAAACACGAAAATAATAACACACCAGCACCCAGTTAATATATGCTTGTCAATTAAGCGTGGGGTTAAATATGTATATCCGGGCCATGCTGAAGGGGAGGCAAGTGAGAGCCGGGCGATACACTAGTGAGATCCCTTTACACTCTTCCAACACCTTCCGTCACAAGCCATGCCTTACTTTAGTACAAACACGGTTGCTTGAGACAACTTACAGGACCACTCTAGGTGCAATGGAGAACATATCGTGTCTGTAGATTAGTAGGAAACACTATTAAATAAGCTTACAGGAGGAGAGAAACCCCGAGAGAGGTGAAGCCGGGCGGCTGTTGTGGGGGTTGTGGTGGTGGTGGTGGTGTCGTCTGCTGGGCTCCCGCCGCCCGCGCACGCGCACCGCCTCCAACACACTCGCAAAATCTTCCACACCTACATTTGCTTTCCATTCGGCTTTCCCCGAAAGATGCCGAATGAGTTTTGCGATGAATTTGCGTGCTACTAACACTGATTTTGGTTGAGGTTCTGTTTTGGCTACCGCTTGTTGGATCCATACTATATTTATCAGTACATAGGGTTAGTTAGTTTAGTTCATTTATTATGCACCCCATAACCATCTTGTGGGCGGTAGTGGAAAGGGTTACAGAGGCACATAATGGGCTCAGGGACTGAACCCCACAATTCATTTAGCTAAGCAAGTTACAACCTTGATGAGCTAGTTACAAAATTCAGTATAAGTCGTCACGTCAACAATGGGTTCGAGATCGACCACAAGTACAGTTTCTAAATTAATATAAGCAATTGACATATGTGGAGAGCTAGTGTCACAATTGATATGTTTGTCCTGCACACCGCCCCCCCATCCAGAGGGCAGCGGTGGATAGGTTACAATCACTCAGTTACTACCTACAATTAGCAAACTGGGGATATTTGGCTGGGTCATATATAAACTCATTAAATGAAAGAACGGAAGATTTCTAATGCGTTCTGCAATGAATTTACGTACACGTTGTAAATTCATTGTCATGTGCTTGTTTAGTGGCATGTATTTCGGAGTGTTTAAAATAAATCATCAAGGATGTTATATTTTATCAATACATCCTTCTAAAGATGTATTGATAAATACGTATTCAAGGAATTTCCTGTTTCATTCTTTCCTTCGTGGTCAGACACAATCATATATATTTTATATATACTGTATATATATATATATATACTGTATATATATATATATATATATATATATATATATATATATATATATATATATATATATATATATATATATATATATATATATATATATATACAATCTTTGGACAACACCCACCAGTGGGACTCGAACCCAGAAAGCACAACTACCTTCCAGTAGCTGGCATAACTAGTATGCTTTAACCCACTACGCCATCAGACCTTACATAAGAAGTAGATAGTTCGAGATATATATATCTCAAACATCTCTACCTCCCGAAGGCACCAGATGAGTGAGGGGTCAGTCTGCAATTTTCGTCAAGCCACTGTCAATGTGAGAGAACTCGTGTCCAGCTTATAAGCCTATACTTGCATAAACCACAAGTGAAGATAAACAATCTTTGGACAACACTCACTCATCTGGTGCCTTCGGGAGGTAGAGATGTTTGAGATATATATATCTCGAACTATCTACTTCTTATGTAAGGTCTGATGGCGTAGTGGGTTAAAGCATACTAGTTATGCCAGCTACTGGAAGGTAGTTGTGCTTTCTGGGTTCGAGTCCCACTGGTGGGTGTTGTCCAAAGATTGTTTATCTTCACTTGTGGTTTATGCAAGTATAGGCTTATATATATATATATATATATATATATATATATATATATATATATATATATATATATATATATATATATATATATATGAATATGACAGTGCCAGACCACGAAGGAAGAATTAAAACAGGAATTTCCTTAAATACTTTCGTATTTAATAATACATCTTCAGAAGTATCCTTCTTAAGATATATTATTAAATACGAAAATGCTTAAGGAAATTCCTGTTTCAATTCTACTTTCGTGGTCTGACACTGTCATTTTCATCAATTACAATGTTTTGTGAAAAGTATATATGGTGGGGATTTTATATTTTAAAGTAACGGGGAAAAGGTAGATTTAGCACAGTTACGGTTATTGGTCTAGAGATCCATTTTCTATGGATATTTTCTTTTTTTTCCCCAACACTTCTCTTTACTGCCTACACACAGCCTCAGCTCGCGCTCTGAGAGTCGCTCTAAGGGCAGAGTAGTTTAGTTTAGTTCATTTATTCGGCACTCATATCCATCTTGTGAGTGTAATGGTAAATGTTGTGGAATAAAATATATATGGTCCAGGATCTGTACCCCTAAATTATTCTAACTAAGCAAGTTACAGTATAGAAAAACTACTTTTATTTTTAATTAACAAGCTTAGGTACACAGCAGTGTGCTGCTGCTGCTCTATTCTATGTGAGGGGATTAAAGAGCTAGGGGGGGATCCCCTATGTGAGGGGATCAATAGCTAGCTATATGCTCATTTGTATCCCCAGCTTACACTGAAAGGTGTTCCTCACTTCTTGGAAAGGTGTTCCTCACTTCTTGGTGTATATACTTTAAGAGTATACTTTAGTCCAAAACGTATGCTTGCTGGCCGGTCAGTGTTGTCTTTTATATAACCATCCAGAGGTTGATAGGCGTTAAGCCCAACACCAAACTAAACCAAAAGCTGGTTAGTCATACAAGGAATCAAAGAAAACAGGATATGTGGATCTAAACTTTATTTAATTTTGTTAACATAAATAAATCAACAGTCTCAGTTTATCACAGTTTATAAAACTACCATTATCATGACCACAAAACGCCCTAATATTAATAGTGATTTTTTGTGAAAGTATGTATAATTTTAATTTGCTTATCGTGTACCCCAGGCACCTGTACCAATCTCGTTGGGGGGGGGTGAGGTTATAATCACCTGTATGCTCTACCTACGGTTAGAAAACTGAGAATAATTGGCAACAATTTATGGTAGTACATAAATTAACAAATATATATTTACATATTACTTGAGCATTCACAAGAAAATATTTTAAAATTTTTGATATTTTTCGCATACCAGAACAAGTAGTGATGCAGGGTGTGCACACTGTTTTGTTAATAGTTTATATTTCACGTCGTGTTTTATAGGTAGATGCTACAATCTTTAATATATATATTACTGTGTTTTATTGATAATAGTGGAATAGTATTCACTATAGGAGTCTGGTGAAATTAATGGATAATCTGTTGATTAGTTCATATTGCATGGTAGTATGATGATGGCTGAAATACTGTAGATTTCATTTTCCCAATGAATATGGGGTTCAGTTCCTGAGCCCATTATATGACTCTAACCTTTTCCACTATCGCCCACAGGATGGGTATGGGGGTCCACTATCCCCACAGGATGGGTATGGGGGTTCACTATGCCCACAGGATGGGTATGGGGGTCCACTATCGCCCACAGGATGGGTATGGGGTCACTATCGTCCACAGGATGGGTATGGAGTCCACTATCGCCCACAGGATGGGTATGGGGTCACTATCGCCCACAGGCTGGGTATGGGGTCACTATCGCCCACAGGCTGGGTATGGGGTCACAATCGCCCACAGGATGGGTATGGGGTCCAATATTGCCCTCAGGATGGGAAAAATTAAGATAGTAGGCAAAACTGAAAAATCGAAAACTGGTGTTTTTCTAAGCACACGTGAAACTTTGTGCGAAGAATATGTTTATATCTATCAAGCGTATAAACGAATGTCCTTATGTATATACAATCACACGTTGTAAAGTGTGCAATTGTGAGCATGTGTGTCTCTATATAAGGTATACGAATGATCACTGAAATATGTTTAGCGTTCTCTCTCTTTTCCAGGTGTGATGTCCCGGGGGTCACGAGGTCAGCTGGGCTCCCCCAGCCTCCCCAACTATGATATGGCCTCCACTCCACTCTTCGACGACCCCATGGACGTTGTTATTTTCGACACTACCGTCGAGTTCCTGCCAGGCAAGACAAGGACTCGGACGGCTCTGAACGCCGTAGCTCACGTAGAAAATCTTAAAGAGTTGATGCTCGAATCCAGAGAAAATCATGTTCCCCTATCCGGATCATCTCTTGCTGAAACTTCCAACGACTTTCGCCACGCTGAATCAACCACTCTTGCCCACAGTTGCTACCAGATGACGGTGGAACTCGAGTCACCCTCTGAGGGCCTAGGTGGACCGCCTCTGGATGGCCACTTCATTGCGGAGCAATTGGACCAGGAGTCTTCTATGGTATCTGTGTTTCGCGCCTTCAGGTGCATGGAAGGGGACGAGGACCTCCCGCAGAAGGATCCACGGTTCCTGCCATTGGAGGTTCGCCGACCACAACGCCCAAGACCTGGACTAGGTTCTAGTAGCCGGCATTCTTCAGGATATTTCCCGGTGTCGCAAGATGTTACCATCGACTATTGAATGATTCCTGTCTCACTTTATATTTACCGTCTGATAATAAATAGTTAATTATATTGTTCCTCATATTTGAGATCAAGTTACAAGGGTAGTGATCTAATTATTGTACTGAGGTTAACGTTACTGGACAACGATGTCATTGTTGCTTCGTTGGTAAAAAAAAAATGCCCAAGTTGAGTACGTTCACACATACATAACGTAAAGTTATGTATGTGTATATCTCCACCCCCCCCACGCCTCCACCCCCCCCCCTCGCCTCCACCCCCCCCCCTCGCCTCCACCCCCCCCTCGCCTCCACCACCCCCACGCCTCCACCCCCCCTCGCCTCCATCCCCACGCCTCCACCCCCCCTCGCCTCCACCCCCCACGCCTCCACCCCCACGCCGCCACCCCCACGCCTCCACCCCTCCCTCGCCTCCACCCCCCCTCGCCTCCACGCCTCCACCCCCACGCCGCCACCCCCCCTCGCCTCCACCTCCACGCCTCCACCCCCCCTTGCCTCCACCCCCCCCACGCCTCCACCCCCACGCCGCCACCCCCCCCTCGCCTCCACCCCCACGCCTTCACCCCCTCGCCTCCACCCCCCCACGCCTCCACCCCCACGCCTCCACCCCCACGCCTCCACCCCCCCCTCGCCTCCACCCCCACGCCTAAACCCCCCTCGCCTCCACCCCCACTCCTCCACCCCCCCTCGCCTCCACCCCCCCCACGCCTTCACACCCACGCCACTACTACCCACGCCGCCACCCCACGCCTCCACCCCCACTCCCCCACCTCCACGCCTCCAACCCCACACCGCCACCCCCACGCCGCCGCCTCCATCCCCACGCCTCCACCCCCCACACCGCCGCCCCCACGCCTCCGCCCCCACGCCAGCACCACCACGCCAGCACCACCGTTACCCAACACAACTAATGATCCATTTCATTCTGAGAAAGAGAAAATATCCAGTGTAAAAACTGGGACAAGTGCGGGGCGGTGAATTGCAACATGTAGAGAAGCTGAGCAATGAGCAGCGATGTTGTTGTTGTTGCAACACAACCACAAGAAGCGTATTCGTGATATATTTAACATTTCACAGCCTATTCCAACACAACCGAGCATGTTTACCACGTTTGGTTGAGTTGATTGACGGTTGAGAGGCGGGACCAAAGAGCCAGAGCTCAACCCCCGCAAACACAACTAGGTGAGCACACACACACACACACACTAAAGGAAGGCTGCTAAAGTAAGGAGCAGAAGCACTGTGCCTGCCATTCTCCATAGTGTACAGGTATAACAAATCACTGGCAACAGGGGAACTGCCAGAAATTTGGAAAGCAGCTAATGTAGTTTCGATATATAAGAAAGAGGATAGACAGGAGGCACTGAACTACAGGCCAGTGTCACTAACCTGCATACCATGCAAGCTGATGGAGAAGATTGTGCGAAGAAAGCTAGTGGAGCATCTGGAGCAAAAGAACTTTGTAACACAGCATCAACATGGGTTCAGAGACGGCAAGTCCTGCCTCACAGGGCTAATTTAATTCTACGACCAGGCAACAAAAATCAGGCAAAAAAGATAGGGGTGGGCAGACTGCATATTTTTGGATTGCCAGAAAGCCTTTGATACAGTACCACACAAGAGGCTAGTGAAAAAGCTAGAGATGCAGGCTGGAGTGAAAGGGAAGGTACTCCATTGGATAAAGGAGTACCTAAGCAACAGAAGACAACGAGTCACTGTGAGGGGTGATGTCTCAGACTGGCGTGACGTCACAAGTGGAGTCCCGCAGGGGTCAGTCCTTGGACCTATACTGTTTCTGATATATGTAAATGATCTCCCAGAGGGTATAGAATCGTTTCTCTCAATGTTTGCTGATGATGCAAAAATTATGAGGAGGATTGAAACAGAGAATGATTGTAGGAGGCTACAGGATGACGTAGACAGATTGAATGAATGGTCCAACAAATGGCTGTTGAAGTTCAACCCGATTAAATGCAAAGTAATGAAACTAGGCGGTGGAAATAGGAGGCCAGACACAGGATACAGAATAGGAGATGAAGTACTTGATGAAACGGACAGAGAGAAAGATCTAGGAATTGAGGAATTTATATTAGTGACTTTACAAGATTGCAATTACTATGCTATGAATCCTCACAATCCCAATGTACCTTCTTGAATATATATAAAGATAACTAAATAAATAAAATAAATAAATAAATATCACACCAAATCTGTCTCCTGAAGCCCACATAAAAAGAATTACGTCTGCGGCATATGCGAGGCTGGCTAACATCAGAACAGTCTTCAGGAACCTGTGTAAGGAATCATTCAGAATCTTGTATACCACATACGTAAGACCAATCCTGGAGTATGCGGCCCCAGCATGGAGCCCGTACCTTGTCAAGCACAAGACGAAGCTGGAAAAAGTTCAGAGGTATGCCACTAGACTAGTCCCAGAACTAAGAGGCATGAGTTACGAGGAAAGGCTGCGGGAAATGCACCTTATGACACTGGAAGATAGAAGAGTGAGGGGAGACATGATCACAACCTACAAAATCCTCAGGGGAATTGAAAGGGTAGACAAGGATAAACTATTCAACACTGGTGGTACGCGAACAAGAGGACACAGGTGGAAACTAAGTACCCAATGAGCCACAGAGACGTTAGAAAGAACCTTTTCGGTGTCAGAGTAGTTAACAGATGGAATGCACTAGGCAGTGATGTGGTGGAGGCTGACTCCATACACAGTTTTCAATGTAGATATGATAGAGCCCAGTAGGCTCAGGAATCTGTACACCAGTTGATTGACAGTTGAGAGGCGGGACCAAAGAGCGGGACCAAAGGACTATTTGTGCTTGCGGGCTCAACCCCCGCAAGCACAAATAGGTGAGTACAAATAGGTGAGCACACACACACACACTACCAGAAGCCCCCAAGACAAACTTCTTCACGTTGTAGCACTTGTTTGTGTTTGTGGGTACTGAACCCCAGCTCCTGGGCCACGCAAGTATTAGTCTTCTGACACGTCTTTTTATATTTACATTTGATCTCGTAAGGTGGAGTTTGGTTAACTACCTCTTCTGGTCCTCCCTTCCCCCCCCCCCTCCTCTCTCGCAGTCTCAGAAGACGCTCCTCACAAACCTGACTCATTAGGGTATTGAAGTAACCCTTGCGACCCTCGTAAGGGGCCTCGTAGCCTGGTGGATAGCGCGCAGGACTCGTAATTCTGTGGCGCGGGTTCGATTCCCGCACGAGGCAGAAACAAATAGGCAAAGTTTCTTTCACCCTGAATGCCCCTGTTACCTAGCAGTAAATAGGTACCTGGGTGTTAGTCAGCTGTCACGGGCTGCTTCCTGGGGGTGGAGGCCTGGTCGAGAACCGGACCGCGGGGACACTAAAGCCCCGAAATCATCTCAAGATAACCTGACCCCAGACCTGATCTGACGTCATCACATAATCGTTATTTTACCTTATGAATACGAGTCGAAGAACTGTAAGGAAATACTCAGATCCAGTACGGGAGGTCAACAAGTGGAACGCGCGGAAATCTGAAGTTGTGGAAGCCACCTCCATCCACAACTTTAAGACCAGATGCTACACGAACTTTGAACGTCGGAATAGTTACATTGTAGCGCAACAGGTACAACAAGTATATAGTAGCCTTATAAAGAGATCTATCTGGCTGGGTATAAGAAAGGGTTACCTCGTGTATAGGCCTATTCATTGGCATCTGCCTTCCTCCCAACCCCCCACTCCTCAAGGCTTCTTCTTCTAGTTCACAAGACAAACAAAGCTAACAATTTAAAATTTATAAACACACACATATGTGTGTGTTTGGACCAAAGAGCCAGAGTTCAACCCTCACAAACACAACTAGGTGAGTACATATATATGTGTATATATATATGCGAACAAGCCTGAATGGTCCCCAGGACTATATGCAACTGAAAACTCACACCCCAGAAGTGACTCGAACCCATACTGCCAGGAGCACCTTGCAACTGGTGTGTACAGGACACCTTAATCCACTCGACCATCACGACTGGTCAAAAGCTGATGGTAGCTGAGGCTATTTAGCCCATCAGCTCGCCGGCACTCTGATGGTAATCTTGGGCATAGTATTTTATCAAATCACCTCATTCTTTGGGGCACACGTGAGGAACACAAATGCGAACAAGCCTGAATGGTCCCCAGGACTATATGCAACTGAAAACTCACACCCTACAGGCAGACGTTCATTAGTACGGGGGATGCATCAATAATGTGCTTAATTAGAACTAGTTTCACTAAAGCGCTGGAATTTTCACGGCGTGAGAGCGTCAAAATTGATGTGTATTAACACGTCTTGGGGGACACGGTTGTAGCTATAACGAGGCTGCGCTTTAGTGTGAAGGTAGGCTGTTCCAAATTAATAAATATATAATTTAATTTAGCAACTAAGAAAAAGGATTATAAATTTACTACTGCTACTAGGTAAAGGGGGTCACTACTACTACGGGATTGGTTACTACTACAACTAAGCAAAGGTCATTATTATTTTCATTAGACAAATCTTTGAATTTCGTTTTCGTTTCGCAGGCAATTCCAGCATAATAACTACTATTTACAACCAATTTGGCCATGAATAAGAATTATGCTCCAGTGTGCGTGCGTCACTTTTTAACAGTCATCCCATCAGCAATGTTGCTTCCTGCAGTGTCAATGGCAGCTTTGTGGGCCTGCAACATTTGCCTACACTCATCAGTGTTTATTTTTAATTTATATTTTATGTTACGTGATCAATGATTTAGTGCTTAATACTTATAAATTATTGTATTATTATTTTTTGTTTAATTTCAACTTTCCTCCTCCGGGCCACTCACAAGGATGAGCGACACTGCCTTTGGAGGGAAAACATAAATTTAAAGTACGAGTCACTTTCCACAACCGTGACACAGCACTATGTTGTATTCAAAGAGACGTCACGGTGGGACACTCTCAACACTCTTTTTGTTAAATAGTAACGCAACAGGTGCAACAGGGCTAGGCTAGTAGGCGGGGCATAAGGAGCTACACCTCACTATCCTGTAATCACTGATGGGAAAATACTTTTTCACTCTTTCAAATTTTAATTTAAATAGCAATTTCTTTTTATAAAATGAACTTTGTCCGTAAAAGTTCTTTATCATGATAACATATATATATGAAAAGTACAAAAATTACGTTTAAAGGAGA